CAGCCATGTGCCCCCTTTTATAGTGCCCAGCCATGTGCCCCCTTTTAAAGTGCCCAGCCATCTGCCCCCTTTTATAGTGCCCAGCCATCTGCCCCCTTTTATAGTGCCCAGCCATCTGCCCCCTCCATTTACTTTACTTACCTTTTACTTCTTTCTTTCTTTTACTTCTTTCTTCTTGCTCCTCTCCGCGGCGTCCGCGCGCTCCTCTGATCCCTGGAGATGTCGGGCGGACGTCACGTGATGACGTCACGTCCGACACCCAGGGAGCAGTGCGGGGCAGGAAGAAGTCGGGCCAGGTCCCGGAAGGTAAGTAAATTATTTTTTTTTTTTAACTTGAGCCATTTTTAAAATGAATTTACTCCGTGCAGGCACGGAGTAAATTCATTGAAAAAAAAAACGGGGAGGCTGCAAGGCTGGCGGCGGCACCGCGGGCCATCAGACGAGGTCTGGCGGGCCAGATTTGGCCCGCGGGCCTTGTGTTTGACACCCCTGTTCTAGACCATTTATTTGGAATAAGTATAGAAGCTGACACCAGTATTCCACAGGAGGTAGCTTTGAAATGAAAAAAATATGTGCATTTTTCTTTAAACATTAGTGGCTAATTTGAATATGATTGTTGGACTGAATAATAAACTAAGATTGGATATTGTACATTATGCTACTTTTTTCAGACAAAAGTTTGACAATGCTTCTTGACTGCCATCTTGCAGGATTTGGGGGATAATACTTTGTTCTTAAGATTTTACAGTGCAATCATTTTTATTTCTATGGAATCGCCATCTAGTCTTTCCCTTTACTAAAGGGAGACAAATTTACAGATTTCAAACTATTCTTGCCTTTTGTAGGAGTTTTCTCTATCATAAAATGATATAACAATTATAATAGTGAGTGAAATATAATAAATTATATTTCTATAATACACCGTAATAATAAACTATAAATAGATTTATAGCCGCCCTTCACTTGCTGAGATCTTTGCATAATTCAAAGCTGACATTTACTGAAATCACTATCATCATTCCAAATCAATCAATTCCCACTTGAAGCTCTTTTCACTGAAGGTTATGCCTGTTATCTGTTATGTTAGTTTAATACATGTTGGTAGCAAATCCCAAAGGTGCTTTTTCAAGAGGCAACTGGACTTTCTGGAGTTTTTTTTAAAGATGTTTCGCTTCTCATCCAGGAAGCTTCTTCAGCTCTATATATTGGACTCATGGAGGAGGATTCAAAGGGCCCACCTGCAACAGGTAATTCAGTATGTTATGCTCTCAGAAATGAACTTAACCATCCAGTCAAGAGCTGAAGAAGCTTCTTGAATGAGAAGCAAACTGTCTTCAAAGAAAAATAAGAAACTCCAGTTGCCTCTTGAAAAAGCACCTTTGGGACAACCATGACCTGGATGACAGAGAATCTGCAGGGGTGGGATTCAACCGGTGTTACTACCGCTTTAGTGACTACATTTTGTGCGCGCGTGTAAAAAAAACCTTAAGCTGTGCTGCCCAGACAGCTAAAAAGCACTGTGTGCAGGTGCGCAGCGTTTGAAAAGCTACTTTTTTTCCTGCTTTTTCAACCTCAGCTGTGCCACGCAAAGCAGCTGAGGTTGAAAAAGCAGGAAATAAAGGACAGGTAAAAGCCTGGGCGGGCCGGTGGGCCAAACAGCAGCAAACACAGAATTGGTTCAGTGTCTGCTGCTCTTCAGAGCTACCGGTTCTATAGAGCCAGGCAGAACCGGGAGCATCCCACTCCTGAGAATCTCCATAGACATGTTGGTAGCATGGTAGTTTTTAGGATTGAAGTCTGAGAGAGAATAATGTTCATATATAGGTTTTTTAATTAGTGGTGGTTTCTCATTTTCTAGCTGTTCACAAGAAATAAATATATGTGTACCTGTATATTATAATAATAATAATAATAATATTTTTTCTACATTTTAGATGCAGATGTCAAATAAATCTCAAAAAGTCGATCTTAAACAATTTAGTTATATTCCAAAAGCTTTTCTTCCAGGATTGCCAAGGTATTGTAGTAACAGTAAGAGTCATCTATCATCATTGTCTTTCTTTATTACAGCTCAAGATTAGTAAGACATAAATTAGAACAACTCTGGTACAATCCAAACATATAATAATGTTAACAGTTTAATATATGACATACCTTTAATAAGAAATCTAGATATGATGTAGCTTGATCACTATAGCACAACATTTGAATGTTAAAACAAATGATTGTAAGATGTCTGTGATTTAAGAAAACTTCTAGATAAATAATATTGATCTGGGGGGCAAGGCAGCGTTTCCAAAAAGTGAATTAATTGACAACACAGTTCTGCATCAAATTTACATCACAGAGAAACATATTCTAGTGCTTCAGTTTCACCTGAAACACAAAGGATTCCTTTATACCTGCTATCCATAACTGCAGAAGGAAGGGCATTAAAACATGCTTGGAAAATGAATACAGAATAACTTGAATAAATATTATGCGGGTTATGGTTCTGTTGATTTACTGAGGAGACAATATAATCTGGAGGTGTTCCTAAATTACTGTATACTGAAGTTCAATATCTGGAAGAAATTAAGGGGCATGCCAAGATGAAGCGCTGTGTTAATTATGACTGTACCATATATCATCTAAATTTAAAGTGAACATCCCTAAACTAGGAGAGGCACAAGCCCCATGGGGGAAGATAGATAGAATTTAAGTCAATAATATACACATAGGACAGGAGTATTTCTCAGAGGAAGGGCTAAAAACACAAGACATAAAGGTCCTTCCAGTTGCCCAGCTAAAGCAAGCAGTCACCTATAACTGGGAAATAGCAATTACAGGAAGATGATGGAAAGGCATAATCACTTTAGAGATAACAGATAACAGATAATCAGAGTTGGAAGGGACCTTATAGGTCTTCTAGTCCAACCTGCCGCCCAAGCGGGAGACACTATACCATTTCTGACGAATGGCAGTCCAATCTCTTCTTGAAGGTCTCAAGTGATGGTGCTCCCTCAATTTCTGAGGGCAAGCTGTTCCATTGGTTAATTGTTCCCACTGTCAGAAAGTTTCTCCTTATTTCCAGGTTAAATCTCTCCTTGTTCAGTTTCCATCCATTATTCCTTGTCTGGCCTACAGGCGCTATAGAAAATAGATTGACCCCTTCCTCTCTGTGGCAGCTCCTCAAATATTGGAAGACTGCTATCATTCCTCCCCGGTCCTTCTCTTTACTAGACTAGCCAAGCCCAGTTCATGTAACCGTTCTTCATATGCCTTAGTCTCCAGTCCCCTAATCATCCTGGTTGCTCTTCTTTGTACTTTTTCTAGAGTTTCAACATCTTTTTTATAATGTGGTGACCAAAACTGGATTCAGTACTCTAGGTGTGGTCTTACTAAGGCTTTATAGAGTGGTATTCGTACCTCACTTGATCTTGATTGTATCCCTCTGTTAATACAACTTAGGTTTGCATTAGCTTTTTGGGCGGCGGCTGCACACTGCTGGCTCATATTTAGCTGGTTGTCCACTAAGACTCCAAGATCCCTCTCACAGTTATTGCTATTGAGCCTGGTTTCACCCAGTCTATATGGGTACTTTTGGTTTTTCTTGCCTACTTTTCTCTACATTGAATTTCATTTTGTTAGATACAGCCCAGTGTTCTAGTCCAGTGATCCCCAACCTTTTTTATGCCGTGGCCCGGTACCGGCATCAGCTGGGCGCCGCGGCCCGGTACCGGCATCAGCTGGGCGCCGCCATCTTTTTTTGATGAAAAAGTGCTTCCGGTGACCTCACCGGAAGCACTTTTTCATCAAAAAAAGATGGCGGCGCCAGCGCTTCCGGTGAGCTTTTCCGGGTAGAAATGGCTTTCTACCCGGAAAAGCTCACCGGAAGCACTTTTTCATCAAAAAAAGATGGCGGCGCCCAGCAAACCAGCGGCCCAGTAGGACTTGTTCCACGGACCGGTACCGGTCCGTGGACCGGTGGTTGGGGACCCCTGTTCTAGTCTGTCAAGATCCATGGTAATGGCATCAAGTTGTACTGTGTAGGAAAAGGCAATTGTTTGTTTTCTTTAATAATAGTCTCAAATTTATTTCACTAAAACATTGATTCTAATTATTTCATTTTTCTAAAGATTAGAACATGTACAACATCCAAGATCCCCTTTACCAGAAGACATCTACAGTTCTAATGTCTGTCAAACATTTCAACTGAAACCTGAAGTTTGCAAAATGAATGGTACATTTTTAATGATTTTTAACATTTATTTTACTTGGCCACAATTTAGTCACAGTTCAATTCTTTTAATTCCTGTAGTTTCAATGATATAAATTAATTGCATTAAGTATTTGGAACATCATGCTTCCTCACTTCATTATATGGTAACATAAAGGAATAACTGGGTTATCTTTATTATCCCAGAATATTCTTATTTTGTAGATTTTTGACACAAAATAATACATTTACTATCAAAGCCAGTGTCATAAGTATCTGAATGTGAATGTTTCAGATCAGTATAAAATAATTAGAAAAGCTTGTAAAAATTAATGCAATCAAATGCACATTTTATAAATAAATATCTGCTCCATATTAGAAACATGATACTTACTTCCAAAAATGGTGTTGTGGATTCACTTGTCTTTGTTTAAATTGGAGAAATTTATTACTTTAATAATGTAAAAAATTACATTGGAATATTATTGTTATGTCAAATTTTAGGTTTCTTTGCTATGAAGCAGTCTGATGAAAAGAGTAATCCGACAATGGGCTCATATGAAAATCTTGAAGAATCTTCAATGAGCAACTTGACTGATGCAGATAAAAGCGTCTCTTTGTTTTCTGAAACTTTGAATGTAAATTTTGAATTAGGAAATGAAATTTGGAATGATTATAATGATGGGAGTTTTGTACACAACAACACTAATATGCAGGAGTTAAAAGATCCAGGTAAAAAATAAATGTAGTAGCTAATTTTAGTTTAAATTATGTACTAGTATTTTGTATATAAAATCTGTATTATTAGTTTCAGCCAAAAAAGAAAACCTCTCCAGTCACAAACATAGTGCAAAAAAATGTTTTTAACATGTGACTAAAATATTATTTTATTATATAAAAAGGAGTAAATAAAATAATAGAATATAGATTCTAAAACATAATATAGCATACCCATAGTCAGGGGTGGGATTCTACCAGTTCGCACCTATTCGCTAGAACCGGTTGTTAACATTCTAAGCAGTTCGGAGAACCGGTTGTTAGAAGAAATTACTGGCCTAATCCTGTAAGGAAGGCAGGAAGGAAACATTCTGGTGTTGCTTACAGAAACTGCCTCTCCGTTAACCCTTATTACATTCTTGGCAGGACTAGACTTCCTGTCTCAGGAACGTCTCTGGAGTTTTCCCCCCCTCCTTTGCTGGTACTTTGCCTGTGTGGAGTGACCATTCAAAGTTACAATGGCACTGAAAAAAGTGACTTATGACCATTTTTCACACTTACAACTGTTGCAGCATCCCCACAGTCATGAGAGGCCAGGCGAGGAGGTGCGTGCCTCAATGTGAGTTATATTGAGTTGGCCACACCCAGTTGGAACACTGGAGGCAGATACACTTAATTGTCATATCTGATCTTTTTGTGTATTGGTTTTAGGAATATAGACAAGATTTTAAGGAGAAATGTTTACTTTGCGGTATATCACTGAGTAAGAAGTTAGATTTAAATCACAAATAAGCATGCTGTATGATTGATTAGCTTTTGTTTTGATAAGGATTCTGTTTTGCTTAACTCCTGGTAACTAAATTGAAATATTAGTGTGAATATTTGGCAAAAATGCAGAAGTGGCTTTGCACTATCTTTTTACAAGATTACTTTTTACTTCCCAATTTAGGCTACAACCATTTGATTATTTTATGAAACAAAGGTCAACTCTATATCAGATCAATTTCAGTTATCTTTAGATACTATTTGCAAGATGTTTGGCATTATTTTTATGTTTTAGAATCTTCTCCCCTGGAATCCAAAAACACGTGCATTCAGAATTTGAGAAAAAATACATCACTTTGCCAAAACACCCAGAAAAAACCTCCTGAGGCACTTTTTAAAAGGTATATATAATGTAATAAAACAACTACTTATGTATCTTCAGTTATACTTGCATATACAAAGACTTTCAAATTTAAATTCCCCAGAGATACACTATCCCACTTGTCTTCTGGCCGCCTCTAACAGACTGCTTTTGCATAAGAAGATATGTTTATGATTTCTTTAAAAAGGCCATTCTGGTTCACAAGTATAAGAGTTATATATGCACAAAATCTTTTTTGTATGCAAATCTTTATTCTTTAATGCAGACTGAATCTTGGTATCAGATCAATCTTGTAAACAAAACTTCTGCAGAAACATCCTAAATATACATATATTAAGACTGGAGTGCAGAGATGTATATATTTCCTACTGTTACTACACACCTTCGTATATGTTTAGAATGAAAATGCTCCAAAATGTTACATAATTTATTGTGATAGCACCTTGCTGTCTTTTAAAACCTTATAATCTTTTATTTTTGCATTTTGGATTCCATTTCGGTGTGTTTTTTTTAGTTATTCTCCAAATAAAACAAAACCCGATGTCTGTTTACACAATTCTTACTCTCCTTCACTGACTCCTCCATCCAGTAACAAATTACTTCTAGAATATGGAAATCAAAATATTGTAAGTGATAATATACACATTTGATAATCTTGTCTAATATTGTACTAAATGCATATTGAAAAGATGCCTGGTTTTTATTAGGTTTATTACCAATTATGTCTGATAAACTTTTCCGACATTTGTATGTTTACATATGCATGACTGAGGCAGGACAGAAGTTGTATGTACATTTTCTGAAAGATAGTTGCTGTCGTGAAAAATTCAGAAGAAAGGGGTATCACACAGAGCAGAAATAACCAAACGTTTATTCAGTGATTGTTGGATCCCAGTTTTACAAGAAATAGGAATGGCAAACAATGGGAAAGCAAAGATTTTTACAGGGCTACAGGTAGCAAATCTTAAAAATCTAGTTTATTGGTAAATATTGGGGTAACTCAGCAGGTTCTTGAGTATGGGCCTGGAACATTTCTATGGTTAGGCAAAAGCTCCACTTTCAGAAGTGGCAGCAGCACTGGGGAAGTTCATTGTTAAGGAGATGCTAATCAACTGCCTGACTATGATTAAGGATGATACCTTCATCACCTAGTTATTCTATTGCAATTCTTTATTAAGGCTGCCCTCAGGTAATAGCATAAGCAGTGAGTGAAGTTTCTAGCCTTTGGTTAGATGGAATAAGGGGAGGTTCTCTCTGAAAGCAGGGTTGATTGTTTATGCTAAGATGCAGTTAAGCACTGCTCAGGTCATATCTATAAGTTTATTTATTTATTTATTTATTTGATTTGCCAATTGTTTACAAGATAATAAGTATAAGTGTATACATAGTTGTGAATACATGAAATGGGTACATATAAGAAAAATAAAAGAATAAGAGAAACAATAGGACAGGGAAGTTTGGGAAGATGGGGCCACAGTCCCTCTCTCTCTCCCTCTCCCACTCCCTCTCCCTCTCTCTCTTTCTCATAGAGGCATAGAATCATCTTAGTATAATATTAGGTCTTTATATTCCCAAGATTCAATTGTGTAAATCTATATAAAATAAAAGTAAACCGTTGATCATATGATGCTAACTGTATCTACTTGTTTTTTGGGGGGGTTGTATTACAGTTTAGACTTCAAGAATATAATCCACCAGAAAAGCTGAAAATGAAATTAACTACAACTTCAGAAACAGCCTTGAGATCTTACCAAGTTGCTGGAAAGGGAGACTTTTTTATTACTAACAGAACTATGACAAAGGGGGTTGATCTTAGGTATTAAGAAACATTTCAGTAGAATCTTCAAACTGAAATTTTCATAATGTTTTCTCGACATGTATTTCAAAAGGCATAAACTCACAACTAGCTAACTCTTTTTACTTTCCTACAATATATTTCAGACTTCTCCCAAGCATGGCTGCAAATCTGAACTCTCTATAACTGCATATAGACACAACTCAACTAGTTTCTTTATTTCAGACAACAGTAAAACCATAAACACAAAAGATTGACCATTGCAGTATGCAGTAGTCTCTGTGTGCTCCAAGTTTAGATTCTAAACTTTTTCTTTCTGACCGAGATAAAAGATATTCAATTGTTCTATTTACAGCCTTGAGAATGCTCATTGTTGACATAAGACAAGACATGCAAATAATTAAGGCTGTACAAAACTCATTGTTTTAGGAATGAAATATTCTAGAAAATCCTGGAACACATTTTTTTTTCTCCAGATCAATATCAGGACCATTTTCATTTTGAAATGATACAGTGGTTTCCAGGAGTAAATTCTCTGTTTGCACATCCTACTAATATTTATACTCTAGCGCAATATTTTGGTTTAATAGTATTTCCATGTTATGTTAAAATAGTAATTTTATAGGGTTTAATATAGTAAAAATAATACCTTCTTTGTATTTTTTTTGTCCTAGGCATCAGCTTGATGATGATGGTGATATTAAGCCTTTTCTTGGCATATTTGATGGCCTTTTCTAATGCTCATAAACACAATATTTTATCAGTGGGAAAGAATAAACCAATTTTGAGGATGAGAGATCTTCAATTGCTAATTGAGAAGTTTCTACTTTTTGGTTATAATAATTCACTGATAGTCAATTTTGCTATAGGGATAATACCATAATTGCAAAAATGCTATATATTTACTTACATGCATACTTCAGTTGTAATATTATTTAAATGTCAGAATGTTTCATTAGATAAGATTGTACTCAAAATATACTATTTTTGAATTTTAAATTTTACAGTTTTATTCCGGAAAATAATATATTTGCCAAATATATTTAAATAAATATCTTTTTGAACTACTTTTTTATTGTTATCTTTCCTTTGATCAGTGTTGACAACTGATGGCTGCTTAGACAAATCCCTGCAGTTTTCTTGGCAAGATTTCAGAAGCGACTTGCCCTTGCATTTTGGTTAGGGATGAGATAGAGTGGGACTAGCCCAGGCTATCCAGCTGGCTTTTTGCCTAAGGCAGGACTAAAATTCATGGGCTCAAGACCTCTAACTCAGCATCTTTAACCACTAATAAAAATCACAATAGCTTTATTCTTAAATTATTACTGAAAAAAAACTTTTTTCCAGATTTTTATATCTGTCAATTACTTGCATTGACTTTGCATTTTAAAACTAAGTGTATGTTTGTGAGTGTAATTTATGCTCATTGTAGTTTTAAATACTATTATCTCAAATTGGTTATTATTCAACAACATTAAGAATGGGTTGGATCCAAATATTTTCATTATAGTATATTCTATATTATAGAAAAAGTTTTCTATGAAAAAAGGAAACCCTCCCCACCTCACCCGAAGCAGAACCCCCCTTTCATGAGCAGAATAAAATCTTTGGAGTCAATCAGTCTAATATATTTGCATCTTAATTGGAGAAATAGACTCAGAATAATATAAAATGCATATTTTAATTGGACATTAGGATATTACCACATAGAATAGAATGGTATTTACAAAAAAACAGGAGCATACTGTAGATATATGTATGTATCTTTCTCAGCTGTTCCTTCTGCATGCAATTCTGGTGACTTCTAAAAAGCCCATCCCCATGGGTTTTACTTAAAGTGGGGTGTGTGTGTGTGTGTACTAAAGAACAAAAGGCAGCAGATACAATTATCTTTGGACATTTATGGTTATATATGTGTCAATCATAAAAACAGAAATGTATAGCTCTAAGAAGTACTGCTCAAATGTTTGTAAATATTCCATTGTCATTAACTGAATCTTACTGTCTCCAGTTTGTATGCAGAAACTTAAGTGCAATCGATAGATTCTTTGAAAATTAAATTAGATTTCTTGAGTGTTAACAGATCCACGTTTTAAGAAACTAATTCAGTGATCAAAATAGCCAAAGAAACAAGTCTTCTTAATTTTAGTGTGGCAACTGGTATAGGTTAGACTCAAATCTCTGTTCTTTCTTCTTTCTTTAGTCAGACCTATTACCCGGGGTGGGATGCTACCAGTTCAGCACGGTTCTATAGAACCAGTAGCTGCAAAGAGCAGCTGACACCAAACCGGTTTGGTGTTTGGCCCACCCACCTGCCTGGGCTCTAGGCTGTCCTTTATTCCCTGCTTTTCCCTCCTCAGCTGCTTTGTGCGGCACAGCTGAGGTTGAAAAAGCAGGAAACAAGAGGATTTTCAAATGCTGCGCATGCGTGTGCAGCGCTTGTCAACTGTCCAGGCGGCACAGCTAATGATTTCTTGCAAATGCTGCACACACACGTATTATGATTGTCCACAGTTCGGAGAACCGGAAATCACTCCACTGGCTGGCCCTGCCCCTCCCCGCCCACTCCTTACCTGGCATGCGAGACATCCAACTTGCCTGGTTCGGTAAGTTGCAATTTTTCCTTCCCCCCCACCCCGCCCCGACCATCAGCTGTTAAGCTCTGCCGGGTTGCTTTCTAGCTAATCTAAAAGCACAGCTGAACCTTCCTTAGGACTGAAGCTTCTACCTTTCAGTGCAGGCTCAGGTAGCCGATTGTAGATTGATAGATCTCTAAGTGAATCTGTGATTCTGTGAGCAACTCAATCTGCCTGCCTGCTTTTCCTGCTTTTGGATAAAAGTTGCTCTTTTTTAATAAAAAATTCAATATTTACATACATGGTGTGTTGTGAGTTAATTTTGTGAGTTTGCCTGCTAGCAAATTTTATGTGACAGACTCAGGTAGTCAATTGCAGAAAGATAGATCTCTAAGTGAATCGGTAATTCTGTGAGCAACTCAATCTGCCTGCCTGCTTTGCCTGCTTTTGGATAAAAGTTGCTTTTTTATATTAAAAAAAATCAATATTTACATCAATATTTATAATATTTACATACAAGCCATGCCCAGCCAGTCACATGACCACCAAGCCACACCCACAAATTAGGCCACACCCACAGAACCTGTTAAGAAATTTGGATCCTACCCCTGCCTATTACTTGTTCTTCTCTTCAGTCATCTGTGGCCATCATTTCAAAATTAGATGTTAAAATGATTTGCAGCCTACCAGAGCTTTCCACCATCATAATGGAAACAATTGATCAATATAAACAGATTTAGTACTACTGTTTACTTAGATACCTGGGAGAAAATTCAATGGCATAAGTGGGGCTTAATTCTTAGTAGATATATAAGGATTATCAGTCTGACTCTTAGATGAAATGAATGGAATATTATCCTCCCAACTTACATTTTGGGTAGATTTTATATCAGATAGTATCATGGAAAAAAATAACTCTCCAAGTTATTTTCTTTTTCTTCTTAAATAAAATCTTGCCCAAGGGTGGGATTAGTAGTTATTAATGTTTTTATTTCAGTCTTAAAAGTGATTAATGTTCAAAAGATAAATTTGAAGTTTCTTCTTACAACTTTTTTCTTTATGTAATATTGCCTTCATTTTTCATATGCTGCTCATCAATAATCTGTCTCTCATACCTTAGGGAACAGCTTCAGTTCTTTTTGCAATATACTTTACACTGTTCTTTTTATTTTAAGAGGCTTTAATTTCCATGTTCTACCACAGGATAAGAGTAAAACCCACCAGCAAGTTCTTGAAGTTATGAATGATAGAATATATTTCTGATAATCTATGTCCAATAAAGCTTTTAATAAACAATTGCTACTACAGTACATCCTCTGGCATCTACATTTATAGTTAAAAATTTCTTATAATAAATATGAAATCTACAAGACTATTAAATCTGTGCTGTGCCAAACAAAAAGTTGTGTTGGTTTCCCCCACTAATTAATTTTAGTTGGTTTTGTGTTTCTTTCAGAGTCCAACCTCCCTCCATAAATCAATTTATGGGGAATCTTTTAGATATGCTATTTTGAAACTTTCTCAATTGTTTGTTTTTCTGGTTTTACTTATTAATTAAATTTTTACATTGCCCAACTCCAATAATGGGTGCACTTCCGCAATCACCACTTGCCTATCTCCCCCACCACATCTCTGTTCTTTTGGTCCCCTACACTCTGCCAGTTTTCATAGGAATAAGTTGGAGACAGTTCTTCCCCATTCACATTGGCACAGCCTCCAGGTATAGTCAACAACAACATTGAGTATAATCATAAAATGTAAATGATTATATTTACCTTTGAAAATAATCATAATTGTCCTTGAATTCAGTTGTCCTAAATTTTTCAGTTGAAAGTTAGTCAAACCCTGTATGTTTATTTTATTTTATTTTATTTATTTTGTCAAACAATTATTATATAACAGGTATAAGTATAAACATGGTTATAAATACATGAAATAGATACGAATAAGAAAAAAAGAAACAATAGGACAGGGATGGTAGGCACGTTTTGGTGTGCTTATGCATGCCCCCTACAGACCTCTTAGGAAAGGGGTGAGGTCAATAGTAGACAGTCTAATGTTGAAGATTTTGGGGTTTGGGGAAGAAACCACAGAGTCAGGTAAAGTATTCCAGACATTGACTACTCTGTTGCTAAAGTCGTATTTCCTGCAATCAAGTTTGGTGTGTTTTACCTTCAGTTTGTATCTATTATGTGCTCTTGTATTGTTATGATTGAAGCTGAAGTATTAATTGACAGGTAGGACATTGCAGTAGATAATTTTATGTACTATACTTAGATCGGACTGAAGGCGGCGTAGTTCTAGGTTGTCTAGGTCTAAAATTTAAAGTCTGGTACCCTAAGGTATTCTGCTATGAGTAGAGGAGTGGAGGACTCTTCTCGTAAAATATTTCTGGACTTTCTCAATTGTACTAAGAATTATTAATTAATTGAATAGAGACAGAAACCTGCCAGCTTCACTTGGAAGGCCCAAGGTTGAAAGATATTGTATAACTGGGTATCATCGGTGTACTGATGATACTGAATTGTAAGATAGTGAATGGCCTTGCCCAACATGTCGATGTTGAACAGGAGGGGAGAGAGAGTAAAATCCTGTGGCATCCCACAAAAAAGCCTATTGAGCAACCTCTTTCCCCTGACCAAGACTGACTGAAACCACTCTGAAAGACAGAAAAATATTGTAAATTGATTTTACAATTTACTGAATTTTGAGCCCTTGGAGCAGGCTCAGGATTCCTTGATCAACAGTATTGAAAGCCACTGAACGATCAAGGTGCACAAGGACTTTGGTTTTGCCCAGGAGTGGGATTCTACCGATTCAGACCAGTTCAGGCAAACCGGATGTTAAATTTGCATCTGGTTCGTTGAACTGGTATTTGAACCGACCAGTGACCCCGGGACACTGCAGCCATTGTAAATATGAACCAGTTGCCAAGCATCCAAATTTTGATCCTAGAACCATGGGGGTGTTATAACGGTCGTAAGTATGAAAAATGGTCATAAGTTGCCTTTTTCGGTGCTACTTTGAATGCTCAGTAAACAAATGGTTGCAAGCCAAGGACTCCTATACCTTTATAGTTTAGTTTAGTTTACTTTATTGTCATTGCACCTCATACAATGAAATCAAACACCATCTTCAGTGCACATCATGACCATGAAAATAAACACAAACACACATCCTTCACACTCCACACATTGAATTA